TGTATACCGTCAAATCGGATCCAACTGGCACAAGAGGAGATTTCTCCAGCGGAGTATCTGGTGGACTGGAACCACACTCTTTCAGGATTGCAGCACAGCTTTTTGCCACTAGGCCACCAGAGCTCCCTAGCATTTGCCAATAATTTCTTGACTCTTTCCTTTAACTGTTCATCTGCAGGGAGCTTCTTCAATTTTTTAATTAGAAGTTCATCATCTGAACTATCTTCAGATTCACTTTCTTTTTGTTTTTATTCTTCCTGATGGTGCTCCTCTGTGCCTTCTTAGCATTAGCACTTTCCGCAGATTTTTTTCACTTAGGGTCCTTTTTTGTGGTTCCTCTTCTCTTTATCTTGATCATCTGCAGACTCTCCCTGGTTTTTGTTTTCGTCTTCATCACTGCCAGATTCATCTGACAGAATCTCAGGACCGTTGCATTGTTTTTCCTTCCTTGTCATTCCATAACTGCTCTGTGCTTTATTGCTGCTTTTGCCATAAGTTTGTTGTTGTTTTTCTTTTCTTTTTTTTTTTTTGGTGGGGGGGTGTGGGGGGCAGCAAAGGTTTTCCAGAAGTCTTTGGGTGAATTAAGAAGTTCAAGATACACTTCACAGTTCACTCTTTACACTTGATCTCTCCAAACCAAGAACCTCACAGGTGCTCTTTAACATAGCATTTCAGAATTTTTTTCCCCAGCATCTCTTCCTTGTTTTTACATTGGGTGCTTCCTTTGTCAAATGGAAAGCCATGAAACTGACCCACATTTTTCTTTAATGAGCATACTCTGCCTGGTCTGTTGTGAAGCAGTTGGTGCAGATTTCTAAATTCATCAGCTTTCTTCTTATTCCGAAAGAAATGGATCCTTTCCATTTCACAAGGTTTCGGTCCTTTTCCTCCAGCAATTAGAAAAGGATCTTTCTGTAAGGAAGAGACGTGGCATGGTCAATCGCTCTGCTTTCTTTTTCTCTCGCTTGCCTTTTATGATAAGACTTTTTTCTTTTTCTTCCTTTTCATCCTCGTCCTCTTATTCACTGGCATCTCGGGTTTCTCCCTCTCTGCGGTGGGGGCCTGAGAAAACATGCTGTGGTCATTGGTCATGATGCCCAGACATAGCTGGCCTGGTGTACGAACCCACGAGGTGGTGAGAAGCAGTGGTGGCTCTGGAAGATCTCGGAGGAGAAGGTTCACGGGATGCTCTCCGCACGGGATGCTCTCTGCTCTCCAGAATCAACAAGCCCAATACTTCAGAGAGGTCCCTGACTGCAGACTTTCCTAGTGCAATCCATCTTCTGATCTGCTTACTGCTGATACCAAGTGTATTTATTGTGGATCCAAGGACGAAGAAGTCATCTGAAGAGTTAGGAAGATGCAATATGGTTTCTGAGGCACCTCACCAGACATCCAAGCAGAAACGTTGAGAAGTTGGTTACGTGACGATGAAGTTCAGTGCAGAGATGCATCTGGCAATAAAAATGTTCATGCTGCACTTTGTCTTCTGAACTCAAACAGCACTGACTATGGCCCTGCCGATTTATGCCGTCACCCTCACACCCAGCAAGTTAAATCCAAAGTGGTACCTGTGCGAGTGAGACTAAAGAAGGGATCCAGAGCTGAGCGCTGAAACACACAGTAGTATGTTCATACAGTGGAATAGTATGCAGCACTCAGGACAAACTAGTTCAAAAAAATACTATGTAACTTGGGAGCAGCGGGAGAGTTTTATGCGCAGTGAACTAATGCAGTCTCATAAAGACAAATACTGCAAAGGCCATTATTGTAAAAATAGAAAGATAACTGGTAAAACATGAAAGGGAACTCAAGGGGGGAGAGAGCAGAGGGGTGAGGATGGGTAGGGGTGAAATCACAGGGTTGCATAGTCTGCCGAGTGGGACGGGGGAAGTAAATGAAAGGATCCAGGCAAAAAGACAAGGTCATGATGGGCAAGGTCTAATGGTGATTAATTTTATAAAACATAACACATGAGAACGATTGTCTGAAACACAATGTGAATGAAGAACAGTGTGAAACACAACATACACAGCCTTTGTAAACAAATCAATAAAACAAATAAATTAGAGACTTACACGCAAGATTCCATGAGTAGCATGCGGATGAGAAAAGATCACCCAGGGCAGTCCCTGAGCACGTGGGTTAATGTATGCTGTGTGGATGTAACCACTTTGTCTAGTGTACTGTGTATCCATGTGCCAGGAATCAATACAGCAAAATACTGACGGTTTCCTAAGACAAGGAGTCATCTGGCATCTCAGCACATCATTCATTCCAAAATCAACATGCAAACACGCCCAGCATGCCTTGAGCACTTAGCATGGCTGCGGCTATTCTAGGGTATGCTCTGTAGGTGACTTGAGGGTTACCTCCACTCCCCTTGGATCACGTACAACAGAGAGTGAGTGAGAAAGGGACCCCAATAAGGCCCTGGAGCTCCATCCAGGGAAAACCCTCCCCCATACCTTCCACACATCAGGAAGCTTCCTCAGAACTTCATTTCGCCATCCTGCCAAGTTCTCTAGACAAGCCAACACCATTCAGGAAACAAGTGGGGGCAGGGGTGACACAGCTGTCCACCTCTGTAGGAGAAAACTGTGCTGGCCAGGAAAGGACAGGAGAAGGAGCCTAGCCTCGCGCTATCTGAGAGCAGCGCCTGCCTTGGCTTCAAGGGGACTTTGAACATAGGTCACGTGTTTTGCAGGTCATGGACTTTATGACCAGAGACATGTTTGCTGTGGTGTCTGAAACTTGAGGTGCTGTAGGACCTCTTCTGCTCAAAACTGTGAGAGTGTGAGGGAGACACCAAAGCCTGCTTTAGAAGCGAACATGGAGTCTGAAATCGAGACAATCTCCCTCAGTTCCTCTCATCTGACACGTTTGTGATCCCCAGCTCTGCCTCTTGATTGCATTCCTTCCATGTAATTCTACTGTAATACAGTGTATTAATTCTTACAGAAATATCAATAACTGCAAAGAGGTGAGGGCAAATAGAACTAAGATTCTCAGCAAACACTAGTGGCGTGAAGCCATCAAGTCAGGTCCCATCTCAGACTTAGTCTCTCCAACAGGCCTGTGGTTAAAAGGGAGACAGATCGAGAAGGGCACCTTTCTTTCTCTGCCTTTGGCCGTTGACACATGACAATATGATGATGTGTGAGACTGTTGCAGCCACATTTGATCGTGCAAAGAGGCATGAGAGACCTGGGACCAGCAGGACAGATCAAAACTCATGGGCCTTTGGTGGCCATGGTAAGCTGCCAACACTCAGGAAACAGAGCTGGGGGCGGGGGTGACATAGCTGTCCACCTCTGTCGGAGAAGACTGTGCTGGCCAGGAAAGACCATGGCGAGCTACCTGCTAATCTCTCATCCAAAAAAAATGAGCATGAAGCCATTTCTAGTTCAGTTTTGCTTTCCAGGGACAGATGCGTCCTAATGCATGGGACAATGAGTCTTTGGAGCACAAAGTATAAATCACTCATCATCTGCAGGGCTCTCCCCAGGAGGTGCAGGACTCCCTCCTGTCTGCTCCCATGTTCGCCGCAGCCTGCAGCCTGTTGCGTGAGAGGCCCCCCCCAGTTCTCTGGCACACAATGGGTGGCAGACATCTGCCTTTTCCTGGGCGTCTCCCTTTCCTGAAATATAAACAAGTGCCTCGGACATTTACTTGAAGAAAATTTAAATTAGTCAAGCGAGGACAGAAACGCAACATTGATCCTTCTACACCCACTGCACCCCAGGCAGATTGAGGACATCCTGTATTCCACACGTCCTGTAGTTAATCATCAATCTTTCTCTTTAGAGCAAATATGTAGCTCATATAGAATTGTTTGCCCCAGGGGGCAAAAAAAAAATAGCAATTAGCCTTTGAGATGTGTCAGAAGGAAAATGAAAGTAAAGTTCTGGGGGGGGGGAACCCACCCCAACCAAAAACCTCTCAAGACTGAAACAGAAACTAGTGCAATACCAGCCCAGCTGAGCATCAGACGCAGCAGCTTTGATCTGAAATGGCTACTGTAAATCCCTGGAATTTCATGTTTTCTCTCCTTGGTTCTAAGTGGGAGTCTCCTCTCTTGAGTCTCGTTTCTGCCCTTGGGCATAGTTACTTCAGGGCTGTCTTTGGAAGACTCTCACAGCCCGTCGTTTCTTTGTTAAAAGTTTGTCTCTCAGCCTCTCCAGGCAGTTTCACCTTGCTCTCTGGGTCTGGCAGAGCCGGGAGCTCAGGGACCCTGTGCAGGAGGCTGTCTGCCTGCTTCATGGATGGAGGGTGGCAGCTGGCATATGGACTGGGTGGAGGTAGAAGGAGAGGGCTGTCAAGGAAGGGGGACAAGGGAGGAGAGGACACTAGGTCTCTGGGAAGGAAACAGACCTCCACCTCGTCTGCCGCTGAGGCCAGCTGGAGTTCAGTCCCTTCTATGTTCAACAGTTTCTCTCTTCCACCGCTTTCTTCCATGGTATTTTTTTTCCCCACCCGTACAAAGCAAGTTTTAATTTTAGCTTCTAATCTGTGACTCCTCCCCTCCCTGTAGCCCCAGTGGCTTGGATCAGAAAATTTCCAGAAAGCAGCAGGCTACCTTAGTGGTATTAGATTTTAAAGGAACGGAGAGAGTTCACGCATTTATGGGGCATAGAATATGGAATATTACTGGAAAGTCCCTTATAGAGGCCCGGTGACAAACTGAGATTCTGACTTCCCGCTGACTGCTGTTGACAGCACCCTCTGAATTTAGACATTTAGGAACAGAAGGAATTCCCCTCATCCTCCCAGGTGGAGGCCAGCTCTGGTCCTATCAAGTCGTGGTTGATGTGCTCTCTTGGGATGGGCAACAACGAAAGCTGAGAAGAGCCCTGGCACCCTGGCACCTTGGCCCTCTCCCCACTCCCCTCCTATGTACCATTTCTTTGCCCCAGAACATGCCAGGTCTGCCCTGGAGATGAGGGAGGCAGGAGAAGAAGGGGAGGGAGAGAAGGGAGAGGAGGGAGGGCCCAGCACACATGATCACCACCAGAAAGAGTTCAGGGCCCGGAGGGGAGGACAGGCAGATGCAGGCGGGGGCCAAGCAGGTGATTTGTGCGTGGAGAGGTGAGGGCCCTGAGAGCTGCGAGGGCTCCAGAAAGGACAGGTGTGGGTGCTCCAGGCTGGGACAAGCACAGCAGGCTGCTCAGAGGATACAGCTCTGACAGGGAGGGGATCAGAGGACAAGTGATTTGGAAATGCAGCAATGAGTGAGTCTCAGGCCACCAATCTCCCATCGTGAGATGATGATTCCTTCTCCTCAGGGCAGCTGTAGAGAACGAAGGTCTTGCTCCTTGAGCACAGCAGCTCGAGTCACTACGAGAAGTTCAGTGGCTCTAGGAGAGCTTCTTCCATGCACACTCATGTTTACCGAGCCTTGTTCACAAGAGCAAAGAGTTGGAAACAACCTAAGTGCCCATCAACAAATGAATGGATAGAGAAGCTGTGGTATATTCACATGATAAAATACTATGCTGCATTGGAAAACAAGGAACTCATGAAATGGGTGGCCCTGGAGGACATTATGCTGAGTGAAATATCTCAGTCATAAAAGGACAAATACTGCATAGTGCCACTGTTGTAAAGTGAGACTGACATCAGGGTTGGGGGGAGACTGAGAAAGATGGGATAAGTTATGTATACTGCATTGAAACAGATGAGGGAGAGAACTGTTTAAAAGATATATGATTACATATTATTGTCATGACAGGAGTCCAGAACGAAGGCTGTGTAGTGGAGTAGACTTGGGAGGAGGGATTGTAAAACAATGAAAGGATTTTACTTTTCAAAGAGAAGAGTGAACTGGGGGAGGGGGAGGGGTGGGCAGGGAGAAAAGTGCAACAATGAATGAATGGAAATCCCAAGTGTCTGTAAACTTTCATTAAAATTAATAATTTTTTTAAAAAAAGAGCTCCTTCTAAGGATTGTGTCCCATCAAGATGGTGTTAGCTCATGTTTCTGAAGTCATTACCTCAAAGATGTGTCCCAAAACTCTACACAGTCTGAAGAGAAAGAGAGAGCCCATGTGGTCAGGAATAGCCACTGGCTAGGAGGACACAGAGCCGTGAGGGTTAGTCTGCAAAGAGCAAGAATCTCCGGATTCAGGTCTCCGAACCCTCTGGATGGTGCAATGCTGCCACATTCAGGGGACGTCTTAACCATGCAATCTTTCTATCAGCACATGCAGAGGTACGTGCGTCACGTTCCTGTGCGCGCGCACACAGCATGCGCATGCGCTCTCAGCTCCTGTCCCCACCACGTTCCACACGGGTCATTTTTCTCAGACGTGCTGTCCTGGTGCTGTCCACACAGGGAGGGACTCCTAAGCACCAGCACAGCTGAGACACAAGAGCTGTCGCCCACCTGGTTTCTCACCACATGCTCTTCCTCCTCTGGGGTCTTCAGTGTCTCCAAGAGTCTGTGCACATTGTCTCTGGTTTCTCTGTTTCAGTGTAATGAAGAACCCAAGCCTGGAGACTTGATTGAGATTTTTCACCTTGGCTATGAGCACTGGGCCATCTACGTGGGAGACGGTTATGTGATCCATCTGGACCCTATAGGTGAGTACAGGCAAAAAGGGAATTTTCAAAACATGACAGTGACTACAAGACAGAAACGAGGTAAGGAAGCCTGAGTTGGGAACTGCAGTCTCTCTGAGCAACTGATGACCAGGTCGTCCCACTGTGTCTGTGGCAAGGACCATTTACACAGATGAAGCAAAGAAAGTATGAGTTAGTCTCGACTCCACGGATGAAGTGGTCAGTAGTAAAGAGGAAAACGTCATCGTTACAGCCTCTCCCAGTCAGCGTTAAGCCCATGAGCCCTCCAGAGACGTGATCGAGGAGCAAAGTGTCTCCAGAGTGGATGAAGTCACTAAGTCAGATACAAAACTGTTCATGTCCTATAGCCCAGGGCCTCCCGAACCCTGGCTTCCTCCACCTGCCACTGGCACTGCCACAGGACAAAAGTCTTGTCATCACTCTTGAACAAAGACATGCACATTTTCATGGGCTTAGATAAGTCATCACAGAGCTTGAGAGAATTGTCAGATGTGTGGCTCAACCATAAATAGACTATCAAGCTCACTGAAGGGCCAGGTGAGGTTTAGGCAGCTTGTGAGATGAGGCATGACGTGAAGAGACCTGATCCTTTTTGCTCCTTCCTTCCAGAGTTAAGATTACTTTTCTTTTTTAAAAAAATTTTTATTTTATTTCATGTGTGTGTGTGTGTGTGTGTGTACCATCAAATCAGATCTGACTGGTACAGGAGGAGATTGTTCCTCCTTCTCCAGCAGAGCATCTGGTGGATTTGAACCGTGCACCTCTGGGATTGCAGTACACCTCCTTGCCACTAGGCCACCAGAGCTCGCCAAGATTACTTTTCTTAAGAAAATTCTACATGTAAACATCAACCTTAAGATTGGAAAAGTGAACATCAAAATGCTTACTTATTGTGTACATTAGCAAAAAGCTGAACATACTATAAAATGCCAGTAAATAGCTAACTTGTGATTCTATGTGTCCATAACTGTACCCAGCCATGGAGCAAAAAACAATTATGTTAAAGATTTTCTATGATTCAGCTCCATGGACTAGAAAGAACCTGGCCATTAGCGTTTGGGAAAATATCCATTTCAAATCCTACTTCTATTCACAGAAGACTCCAAGACACTTCCTCTCTCTCCCTAAGTCCGATGTTGGTTAGGTAAAACGTAAGGTAGCGTTTGCCTTAAAGCACAGAAAGAGGACGCAATCCACTCGTCTATGAGACACCGCAGAGTGCAGGGCCAGAAATACAGTAGATGCAAAAACAACATGAATGTGTCATGAATTACACACGCAGACAAAGATGGACAAACGTTTTACCATCACTGTTTACAATGAGGACAGTTTTTTAAATGCCCAATAATAGATTGGTCAGATAAATTGTGCCCAGAGATGTAACAAATCCTAGGGCAGCCATTGACACCCTAACATTTATTGATGGGAAGAAATATGCACAATATGGTGTTAAATAAACAGGGAAGACAATCTGGGGACCCTGTGATCACATATGTGAAAGGATAAAAAAATAATTCCACCATGGGTCTTCCCTCTTTCTCTCTGGCCTTGGGTGCTTCCCTCTTTCTCTCTGGCCTTGGGT